GGGACTGCTGGTGAAGAGGGGGTCACGGGGAGAGGCAAGGCTGGGGCAATGGCACATGTGCCCACAGAGAGGGCTCCAAGTGCCGCCTCTGGCACCCGTGCCATAGGTTCGCCACCACTGCGCTAGACTAAACTGGCTAAATTTAAAATTGTTCAAGGGAAAGGGGAAGGAGATCTGAACTGATCCATTCAATTAAATTTACTCCACTGAGTCTTCTCAGAGAACATGTAGGCATGCACACACACACACACAAGTATGAACATACAAGTATACATACACACACACACACACACAGAAGAACAAGAGAATAACTGTAATACTAGACTGTTGTTTGTGTCATATAATATATGTGGGTATATGCATAATTCTGAATTTATTTATTTATTTTTGTCATATTTATGTAATGTATATTGGAGGTAGAGACCCTTTGAGAGCTGAATGCAGCGAAATTTCATTTTAATGTACGCTGATTAGTGTACATTCAAAGTGACAATAAAGTTAAAATTATTAAAGTTATTAAATATCTTAAAGACTACCAACCCAGCTTTTTGTGGTCTAAGATCTCATTTTCCTTCCCTATGCAAAATTACTTCTGTGACAGCATTTTCATTGCAACCACAAGAGTTCATCTGCTCCTTTAATTTATCTTACAAGATAAATACAATGCCAAATGCTAACAATGAACACAGATTACTAACAAGCATCTTCACAGGCTTCTTCAGCAAGCTATTAGAAGTGAGTTATTTCTGAGTTCACCTAAGGAGTGTTTGCTGTTGCTTCAGAAAAAGGAACAGTTTGTCCAGCCTATTCTCAGTAGCCATAGCCATCCATGCCTACAATTTTTTTGTAGCTATCCATGGTCACATGGTTTCATTTATGCAAATAAAGCCTGCGGAGATATTAAACAAATCTTGGTTTTAAATGCTAAGGTTATAAAAATGTCTGACTGGCTGGTAGGCAAATTCCTCTCCTATGTGTTTGAGAGCTGGACTAGCTAACGTTCCATGATTTGGGGGCCTCCACAGATTCTCAGGAAGCTACTCAGAATTCTCAGGAAGTTGCTAAAATCCATAGCCAGGTTTGCTGGGCATTCTAGGACTTACGTTGAACATTACTGGAGAAGACACACTTTTCTCTGTATTGCTGAGACAAATAAGTTCGTTATTTCAAAGTACGGAAAAGTAAGTGCGTTCAGAAAAGATCTCTTGTGATCCTGACTAATAAGGTGACCAACTTTTTTACAATGAAAAGGAGGACACAAATAAATTGAAGAAAAAAATATCGTAAATAAAAGAAACATTTTATTCATTGCAACAATAATACAGGCAGCTTGCATGTGCAAAGTTTGCCAGCCGGGTGTTTTGGCGCGCTCAGCAGCAATTCCTATTGGCTTTCGAAAGCCAATAGTGGGAGTAGCACAGCTCATGCAAAAGTTGAAAAAAATCCATAAAAAAAAGGTGCCGGAATGCCATTCTGAGCGTTCTATGAGGGAAAAAAAGCCCTGCAGATTAGTCCTCAAATATCGAAAAGGGGGACATGTAGGAGGACACTTTTCGAGGGAGGACAGAACCTCCTAAAGGAGGACGGTTGGTCACCTTATGACTAAACACATGGGCAATAACTCCTGGTTTCATACTAGCCTATCAGTTTATTGTTTCTGTATTCAACTCGTTCTTGAATTACATATAGTTTCTTATGTCAAGTGTCATGCCTTGAATATCCCATCATCACTTGGCAACTATTAGGAACACCACATGAACATTCTTAGAGGGCTGGCATCCAATTCACAATGGATATTTTCAATTCTATGAGCAGCAAGAGAAATGGTAGCACCTCACCATTATTGTTTATGCCATGTTTCTCTAACGTTAGGCCTTTAGGATGCATTGCAAGGCTACTGCCACTATGTTATGAGAACTGAAAGCCAATGTAAACAAAGGACAGAGTTGTGAAGAAGATCCTAGTTTGCTAAAAGCTATCCTCATTCCATCTTTCTGTCCACAAACACAGGAAAAAAGTATGCCTAATACTTCCTTCTTTATTTTATGTTGTAAAATACTAATAGCTAATAGGGTATGGGTCCATTTTCAGACTTCTATCCAGACAGTGAATTCTTTGAATTAAAGCATCTCAAAGAAAATGATCTCACAACATCTTTCTATTATTTTTTCTTTATCTTGGAGGACTGATTGGTATTTTAAGCTAGATTTCACATAGCTAATTTTGCATGACAGCAGTTATAACATCCCATTTTAAGACTTCTGCAACAGTACGGCCATACTGAGCATGCTTCAGTTTTTTTCTTTGTGTGATTTCTGCTGGAAAAGTCATAAGGAGAAACAAGGGAGAAGGGCTAGCAAACAGCTTTTTGTTTGGCATCACTAGACATGAGGACCATTGTGTAACGTTAATTGATTATTTGCTACTAAGTCATTTTAACTCTCAGCAACCAGACAGAAAGATTTCTTCTAATCCCTAATCTGGTCTTCCAGATCTTCCAAATTGCCACTGTAACTGAGCCCATCCACCTTGCTACTGGTTGATCTTCTCTTTCTTTCAACCTTTCCCAGCATTATAGATGTCTCAAGAGAGTTGGTCTTCACGTAATGTGTCCAAAGTAGTATAATTTGAACTTGGTTGTTTGTGCCTCAAGTGAGAACTTTGGATTGATTTGTTTGATGGTCCATTTGTATGAGCAATATCATCACCTGATAAGCTCTGAGAGCCACTTTGACCATGAGGACTAATCGTATCTCCAAATGGAATCTCCAGAATGGAATGGATTGTTTACATATAAAAACAAATCCAGAGATTTGGACTTATTCCCCTTCTAGAAGAATCCAAAAGGCAAAACGACCAGGAGGTACAATACTACTACTTTAGCTTTGCTAAAAATTTACTGTAAGTTAATAATAATAATAATAATAATAATAATAATAATAATAATAATAATAATAATAATAATAATAATAAAGTTGGAAGGGATCCTGGAGGTCATCAAGTCCAACCCCCTGCTCAGGCAGTTAACCCTATACCATTTCGGACAAATGGCCGCCCAGTTTCAGGGAAGGGAGAGGGGTATTGCTAATATGACAGAAAAAGCAGCATTGGGCTGCTCGTACAAGCCTCTAATTATTCTGAAATACTTCTCCCCAGATTTAAACTTGCCAATAATATAATGGATTTCCCTTCAATGCCCTTTCATGTTGCTTCAAAACAGAAGCCAGTAAGCAGAGAAGTCACTTTATTTATTCATGGTCTACATTAACATTTATTCAGCTGGCAGCTGTGTACTGAATGAAGCAGAAACCTGAGATCTGCCTGCTGGATCTGTAAGCCTACGGATCTTTCAGCAAGCATGTGGAGAATCTTTTAGAATATGGGGCTTAACACATGAGAAGTTTGGGCGTTCGTTGCCAAAGGCAAAGAGCACTCGGTACCCTAATGACCTCAAGGGAAGACAAGGAACATTTGTGGCTGGCAAAGGAGATTCATTCATTCGTGCAAATAAGAAGAAGGGTCATTCATCAGCTCCTGTTACTACTATGGGAGCAGCTACTGAAGAGGTGTGTTATTATATTTCTGCATCCTGAAGTGAACTTCAATAAATAGGCATGAAGTTTCTAAGACCATTCTTAATTAGCAAGTTCAATGCAGTAGAGATGAATTTTGAATCGGGAGACTCCTGATTCACAACTGAGTCTCTTGGTGCTCATCTAGAGAGCAACAGCTATGTATTTTCCTCCCATCCTTAAGGCTGGAGGACAATATGCCAATAATATGCTCTTTCCACAGCCTATCTTTTATTGCACCTTAGCAATAAGCTGGCAGTGCCTACATATAGTTCAGTGCAAGGTAATTTTAGGACAGTTGGTATGTTTTCCATCAAATATGTGTCACCAGCAGAAAACACACAGAAGATAACACAGAGGATGCAAAGAGAGGGAAGATTAAGGTTGTGCATTACACATGCTAGAAGACTCCACCAAACTCCTGCAACACGTCCATGTGGGGAGAGAGGGGGAAATGAGTTGAAAGTGCCAGATTTCAGGCACTAAAAGACAGACTGAGTTGATAAAAATATACAAATTGTTGTGATGAAAAAGGTTGGAAGCATTTGCCTAGTTGCCCCGGCAAAAGACATGCTCCTGCAGAAGCAAAAGTAAGGAGTCTACTTATAAAGCCTGGTCAGGCCAACTATCTGGAAGAAATTCAGTCTAACAGATTATACCAAAAGAAGTCTGGCCATACTATCTCTCAACACAAGATCTGCTTAGAAAACCTTAAGAATTCATGGAACACTTTCTCCAAGAACCGCCCTCTCGAAGGCTAACACTTACAAATTATTAGTTTTTTTACATATTTAAAAGAAGATTCTTGATTAAACTAATCTTCTGGCAACTCTTTTTTTATAATTCTTGTTGTTGTACATGACAGATTAAATTAGTCTTCTGTTACATGGTGTGTTGTTTTCCAAGCATCCTGTAACCAACAGAATTCCTAGTAAGCATAGACCGTATACCAAATAAATCACATATAATTACATTAACTGCTTGCACTACAGGAGGAGCCGAGTGGGAGTGGCTGAACTGCACTTCATTCTGGAGAGCAGTACAAACTGCTCATTAACCTAGTGTACACACAGCAATGTCAAAGTAAGTTTAATATAAGAATTGTTATATTATTCCTTAAATTCCCCTGAGTTTCAGAAGTAGTCATTGGTGATGACTGTTTTTAGAGATGCTTGTTCTTACTAGCCTGACCCTTGTGGTCCTGTGGATTAGGGGTTAATTGGCTGAATGACCCCATATCGAAAATGGAAAGGCAATTTTCTTCAAACAATCCAGTGTATGTTATGCCAGCAATCAATAATTTTCTTTAACATGCCAACAAATGATCATTTTTCATCATTTTTGTAAGTTAACTCTTGCTTTGTTACAATTTTGGATCTAACCTTCCATGCCTGAACAAGCTTTATTAAGCATGAAATATGGACTTACCATATAAATCTTTTGCACTCATTTTGCCAACACCATCTCCTTTACCCATGCTGCCACTGGAAATAGAGAAAGCAGTAAGATGAAACAAGAGCACTTTAATTTGTCTTTGAGAAAATTCACCATTTGTTTCCACAGTGCTGATGACAGGAGTTTAACTTCCTGTGTGGGAAAACAGGACATAGAATCCTAAGCAAGGTGTGGCGGCAAGGTCCTCCATTTTTTTCCATATCATAAGATTAAAAACAGCATCTTTTATTTTTCTTTCCCAATTCTCACTCCTCAAACAGATTGTAATTTGCAGGTTTCAAACAGAGCAAAGACTCTGCAACAGATCTGGCTCTTTGTCACTTACTATGTGCTCATAGTTACCAACCTTTTTTTTAATGTTACTATAATGTATTTTCTATTTTTGCTTGCTTTTATTGTACACCGCCTAGAGTCAGAGTTTGGAATTAGGCGCTGTCTAAATTGAATACATTACATTAAATTCCCTGCTGATGTCATAGTAAAAGAACAAAAGGGGAACAAACTGCCATTGTTCTTCAGGAGCTGTAATCCCTACAGTGACATAAATCAGCAATAGGCTGGTTTCAGGCTATAGGACTTGCTGTGTCTTTGACTAGAACCTCAAAGTCCCCATCCTGAACCTGAACATGAAAAGAGGTCAAGACATGTCTTCTGAAATTTAAGAACTCAGGGCATGAAACAATACATTTAAGTTACAGGAGAGCAGATTGAATATTATATATATAAAAAATCCCAACAGAGTAGTTAACACTGGAATCAATTACCTAGAGAAGCACTGCACTCCCTTCTAGTGGATGAGTCAAAGCAAAGGCTAGTCCAGGGGTAGGCAACCTCGGCTCTTTTATGACTCGTGGACTTCAACTCCCAGAAATCCTGAGCCAGCTATGCTGGCTCAGGAATTCTGGGAGTTGAAGTCCACGAGTCATAAAAGAGCCAAGATTGCCTACCCCTGGACTAGGCTGTCCTATGTGGGGATATTTTAATCTGGATTCCTCCATTGAATGGGGTGGGTGGGGTGTTGACTATTATTTATTTATTTATTTGCTGCCCATCTCGCAGTCAAGGCTACTAAATGGCTCCTTCCAAATCTATGATTCTACATACAAGAACTATTGAGGGGTTTGTATGCCAGAGGTGAATGGAGATTGCACTCCTTCCACACAGAACCCAGTGCTCTCCACTCTCATACAAATGCTTCCTCTCGGGAAAATGAAACATGTGCCACAAATATCATGACTTGCGTAAGTATTTGTGTCAGTCGTCAGAAGCAGGATTTGTGTCATAAATAATAATCATTTTGACAGACATTTTGTTTCCTACAAGTCCCATATTTAATTGTAAAATTTTACAGCAGTGGTCTCCAAACTCTGAGCCACAGACCAGTACCGGTCCAGGGCCCACTGGGGCTATGAAAGTGGCAGGTGAGCATATGAAGTTTTATTTGTGCATGTGTGAGATTAGATTGTGCACATGCAATCATCCCTTCCCCACCCCCCTGCCACCACTAATGCCACTGTGTGGACCCAAAAAGGTTGGGGACCGCTGTTTTAGGGGATAGAAAAACAACTGAGTTGTTCCTATCATTATACAATGGGAATCAGAAATATAAACTGCACATAATCCAGAGACCTAGCAGGGGATTTCATGTCTACCCAATCTAGCTAGAAATTAAAAAGTAAAAATATTATTTACACAGGACACAATTCTACTTTTCAGCATCTGCAAACTTGCCCTCTACATATTCTCAGTGTACTTCTGATGACAATCCAGATTGTAGAACTCTGAACCTCTCCAGTTCCTTTCTTCTTCCCCCACAGTTTGTTCGTTTAAACATTAGATTCCTTACTTTGCAGAGCCCGGGTGGCTGCTTGTGGATCCTTTATGGCTCATACTGCTTTCAGGATATTCACCTGCAACAGAACAACATGGATTACTTGAGAGGCTACCATGCTTACATTGTAATCATTGATTTGCTTAGCCGTATAGCTTTTACCAAACAAATTACAACAGTGTAATTGCAACGGGTTGGCAATGGGATCAGGCTGGTGCTCAGTCTAGACCAGGGGTAGGCAACCTTGGCTCTTTTATGATTCATGGACTTCAACTCCCAGAATTCCTGAACCAGCATGGGGGAAACTTTGGCCCCTTCATGACTTGTGGACTTCAACTCCCAGAAATCCTGAGCCAGCATGGCTCAGCTTGGAAACTTCTCCCTTTCCCCTCAGCATGGCTGGCTCAAAAATTCTGGGAGTTGAAGTCCATGAGTCATAAAGGAACCAAGGTTGCCTACCCCTGGTCTAGACTATGGTCACCATAAGACATTCTCCCTTATGGTACCATTGTAGCCCTGTTGATTGCAAAAGGGAACATATTGTTCTTTCAAAGAAGGTGCCCACTGGAGGATTTAAAAGTGGAATGGAAGATTAATTTCTAGATTCACTGAGAGCAGTTCAATGATTTAACAGGGCATCATCTATTCCTGTATTCAAAAAAGATTGAGGGGACCATGCTAACAATGGGTCAAGCAGGAAGTGTGAATCTGCCTGTAGACTTCCTCCACGCTCTAAGAAGCTCCTTCACAACAGCCTTATGATCCTCTTGGGGATGCAATGCATCTTTGATTACCCCTCCTTGCTGAGTGGCGAAGACTGATTTCTGCTTTTAATGTGTCTCTTGGGGCAGCTTTTTAAATTGCTGATCATTTCAATTCATTTTTAATATCCTTGGTTTTAACTAAATATCTTTTTATCCTGAACTGCCAAGAGATTGAATAGCCAGTAATGCATCAAATTTAATCCCATAAATTTAATCCCAACCAATAAATATACAATTAAATTAAATACATAACTGAATAACCGATATGGAAGACACTTGGTTGCAGATGAAATGCAAGCTAAAATTAATTTGCTTATTGTACTACATTAAAACCCTCCTAACTTTCATAGTGTAAAAAAAATCAAAACTATCTAATCTGTAACTTACGCCAAAGCCAGATGTTAAACTACCTCCACCTGCAAAATACAACCTATATCACTTTTAGAAGGTTATTAATGAATTCAGATTTGAGAAAAAAAAGATTCACTTCATGTTGGATTCAGTTAATTATTCCTTTTTTAAAAACCTTATCCGAAACAATTTTTAAGCCATAAATATCAAGTATGTTTTGAAATGCTGGATATCTTCTAAAGGTAAATCAGTTCACAACACAAATTAATACAGTAACATACATATATAGTATAAAGGAATGTATATTGGCATTTCCAAAAAAACCAAAGCCCCCATTCTTTCTACTTTTAGAATTTCTTTCTGATGGAATAGAAACTATCACCTGCAAATTCTTCAGGGTGACCATTTATAATTTTTTTAAAAAAGTGATCTCCTTATCATTACAATGAAACCTATTTTTTAAAACATAAACTCCTGATTTACAGTGGGATAGAAGAGTTTAAAAATCCTGTTTGCTTTTGATTGTGTGTATGAGACATTCTCTTTCTCCTAAGGTTCCATATTTTATCTTTAATAATAATAATAGTAGTAAAGTTGGAAGGGACCTTGGAGGTCATCTAGTCCAACCCCCTGCTCGGGCAGGAAACCCTACACCATTTCGGACAAATGGCTGTCCTTAACCACCTTTATCTTTCCTTAACCACCCGTATTAATCTATTTTTATGATCTGTGTCATAGTTCTTCCGAATCTCCATGTGAGTCTCTGTGTTCAGACTGTTTGCAGCTCTTCAGCCTTTTTATATCCCCCCTTTTCTTCCTTTTTAATTCTCTCTATTCTCATTGAAGGAGAATATTTGCAGCTCAGGGTTAAAATGAGGGATCCTTGGTGCTCTCTGAGCTAGGCTGTTCTCTTGCAGACATTTCATTACCCTAACTAGGTAACACCATCAGTGCTACTAGTTTGGGTAATGAACCGTCTGCAAGAAAACCACCAAGCTCAGGGAGCACCAAGGACCACTCTCTCTATTCTTCCCATCATTCTTTTTTTTAAAAAAAATCTTATTTTCTTTCTGATACTTATCTCTTTCCATCATTTCCTGGAGTGAATTAAGTCTTCTTCATTGTTTGAATAGGTCTGAGATGGTGTGTTTACTGTTCACTGGATATGATAATTCCTTTTATCAGAATGCAGTTAAATAAAATAATTCAAACATTTTTATTAAAGGTTGGGGAGGAAGCACATACTAATAATTCCCAGAAGAGGTTAATCTTGCCCATCAACCATGTCAAAAACCTGCTTGACCAGAATAACTACTATTCATAGAACTTCGTAGACTTTTCAATTTTTTAAAGCAGCTTTTGAACATTTTTGTTGTTAATTGGAATAGGACTGTCTCTGCACTGGTTCATGACATCTTCTGTACAGGTTCTTTGATGGACTATTTGCAAATGGCTATTGATCTTTCTTCGGCCCTCATATTTCTGCCTTAAAAGAAATACATGGAGGATATTTCAAAACTTTACTGTAGTGAAACTTTTTAAATTATCTGGCTGAAATTTTGCAGGCTAATATATCACTGTTTTTTTTTTCTTCCCATTCTGCCAAAAATTGAAACAGACATCATACCATTCCATTACAATTTATAATCATTTACCAAATCTCAATTCTCAAAATAATACACATGGAATATTGTTAGAGTCTGAATTTCAAATGCAAACCAAATCTGAAATATAAATCAAATCTTACCTAGTTCTAATAACCCTATTTATTCATATTTTACATTTTTTCTCCTTGGTGTATCTATAAACACAAAGGAAAATCATAGTAATAAGTGACAATAAACAAACTGAATCAGTTCAGGATTTTATTTACTTTTCTTGATTTACTCAAAGAGGAGGCACTAAACCTCAAATTAATTGAGGTTAATTAGTAAAGAATATGTTGGATTGATGCCATCAAGCAAAATACAGGTTTAAACTTGGAAACATTAAACAAAGTTGTAAAACATGAGAAAGAATGGAGGCAACCAATATGTAAAGTCTCTGAATGTTGGGTGTGGGTGAACAGATAGAAGACAGCAAAACACAGAATAAACCACTAATGCTTGCTCCCCATACAAATCTTATTGTATATTAATGGGTTTAAGATAGATATATTAATTGGTTTTGATAGCATTGTTGCATGTATTTGCCTTTCTCTCACAAATCTGTCAATCTGATGCATGGGACAGTTGCTTCACACTATAAAAAGAAGCATAGTTGCTAACATGAATTAGTGAACTAGTTCTCTCTTTTACTTTTCCAACTGAATAACCTTTCCTACAACATTTCCCTTCAAAGCTATCCATTTCCAGACATCTCAGTTGGTCATACTGTGGGGCATCCTTTGCAGTGAAGGACACATGGAAACAAATTGCATCATGTTTCGGATTGCTTTATTTACATACAATGAATTTCCAATCTTTGAATTTCTTCCTATTGGAAATAGTATACAGCATATGTGTAGAAAATCATAACTAAAAAAAATATTGTGCAGAAGATTGGCTGTAGCTGCCTAATAAATAAACTGCACATGATATTAAAATCCATTGAATGGGAAATGGTAACCCACATGGAGACTTTCTTTTTCAAAATCAACTAGCTATTACAATGCTAGTGGAAATTTTAACTGATCTATTGTATGAGATTCAAATATATTTGGTTATACAAAAGTTCGGAAGCATACTTTATTTTTAACTGATATACACATGCCTTGTAGCTAGCATACATTTTGAAAAAATGTTCCCTTCTATCTGTGGAAGATGGGAGGAACTTCTAAAATACTAGCTGATGCTGGAAATGAGTCTGTTTCTGAGAAAAGCAGCTACTGAAGGGGATGTATTCCTTATCTCTCATCCATCTTATCTGGTTAGGTGGGCCCATGTTTAAAGACAGGAGGCTGTTGCTACCATGGTAATCTGATCTTTAGAAAGTACCACATTTATTTACTGAAAACAGTGGTCTTTCACTTGCCATTGTTGGGTATACACAGGCACTTAATTTAGTTAATTTATACAAAATTCACATAAGGTGACCAACCGTCCTCCTTTAGTAAGGACAGTCCTCCTTTTGTAAGTTCTGTCCTCTCTCGAAAAGTGTCCTCCTACATGTCCTCCTTCTTGGTATTTGAAGACTAATCTGTAAATCTCCGTATTCGATCGATGCCGATCCGATCCGTTGCGTGTGATGTGACATATTTGTATTTGACATGACAATTCATCAAGGCTCGGTACAGTGTGGTGAGACGCGATTATGAGACGCATGCGCTGCGCACAGGAGAATTGTTTTGAGAGAGTGCGTCACGCGCAAGAGTGCGCTGCACGCAAGTGGCTTTGTTTACTTCTTACGGAAACATGACATGGCACACACGCATGCATCAGACTCACTTTTTTTTCTTCAATTTATTTGTGTCTTCCTCCTCATTGTAAAAAAGTTGGTCACCTTATCATTCAGGGAAATATTTTTGTGACCTTAGAGCAACAAAAAGGAACTCGCATATCATTCGAAGAAAGAGGGTGGGTCTTGTTACAAACCAAAAACTGGTAGACCTTGTTCTTGAACAGGAATAGTTCACATTCCTGACATTTTGCGGAAATTAAATATAATGGAGGTCACAAGATTAATCTAAACTAACCTGCAAGTCAGATACGATGGGTGTGCTACAAAAAAAAAAAAAAAAAATAAGCATGGTGGAAGACACCACATCGGCAATAAAGAAATGATAATAAACAACCTTATTAAAGGCATTTCCTGGTATTTTTAATTCATTTCAAAACCTTTGCCATCTGGCAGCTATCTTAGCTGGGAAATATGGGATTAGTAATGTAACACAACTGAGAGGGCACCAAATTTGGAAAAGGTGCAGTAACCATAAATAAGCAAATAAGAAATCCTCAACAGGATCTCTTCAAGCGCTTCTCCTTGC